TGTTATGGAAAGCAGTCTGGTATTTTCTCAAAAGGTTACACATAGTTACCATATGGTGCAGCAATTCCGCTCTTTGACATATACCCAAGGGCACAAAACCTTGCACATGAATGTTCAAAGCAGCATTATTCATGATAGCTGAATCAGTCCAAATGCCCATCAACTGATGAATAGATAAACAAAATAGGGCACATCCATACAATATTATTTGGCCTTGAAAAGGAGTGAAATACAAATACATGCTACCATATGAATGATCCTTGAAAACATGTTAATCAGTGAAAGAAGTAATGAAAAGTCACATATTGTCTATTGCAGGATTCTGCTTATATGAAAGATCCAGCATAGGCAAATCTATTGAGACAGAGAATAGACCAGTGGTTGACTAGGGATGGATGGAACAGGTGCATCAAGGAAGGTCTGAAGGAAAATGGGAAGTGACTGTAATGCTTACGGAGTTTCTTTTCAGGGTGATGAAATGTTCTAAAATTTATTGTGGTGATGGTTGCACAACTCTATGAATATACCAAAACCATTGAACCTTACACTTTAAATGGGTGAATCATAACTTATGTGAATAACACCTTCATACAGTTATTGAAAAAATCATTTAAAAAGGCATTGGTTAAGTCCTTATCAAATTATCTAGAACTAATATACCAAAATGAATACATAAGGGATCCCTAGGGTGATCAAAATTATAAATTCCCATACAAAGTGTTCCCTTTAAGTTATTTCTGTAACAGCAAAACATTTGTTGGGTGTGTTTGTTTATAAACAATCTTCACTTAGTCCATATGTTCAAGACTCCCAAAGTCTTTGAAAGCATTGCTTCAAATAATGTATTCATCATGAGAAATACTAAATTAATTTTGAAGTTTTAATATGTTTCTGTTTGTTTACTCAGATTAAAAACTTTCATAAAAGGAGAAGGAAACAAATCAAGAAATAGATGGGGATGGAAAGTTGTCTGCATTCCCCACTTTGACCTTTCCCATCCTTCTGTTGTTTTTTTTTTTAAGATTTATTTATTTATGCAGACAAGAACTAGGGTACAGGCTAGAGGTGTGGGGGGTGAGAGGATTCACTAGACAGAGGGGGAAACAGAATAGGCAGATCGACTGAAATACACTGCTGAGGGGAGCAGCGGGCGAGTCAGGAGAGGTCTGCTGCACCATGTGGGTCAGCTCCCCGGCTTGGGATCGAACTCATGCTGCAGGGACTGTGGCGAGCTTCATAGGTTGCATCTTAACCCCTTGCGCCACCAGGGAGGCCCTATGTTGGAATCTTTTAGTGCTTAAAAAAAAAAATTGATAAAACAGGTCTTCTCTATCTCCAAAGCACTTAAAAAGAGCAATTCTTTCTTCTTTCCTTCCTTCCTTTCACAAATTCTGCTTGATTAACTATTAAGTACTAACTACTTAATCTTTTCTTTAGTTTTCTTTTCATAATCCAGTTTTGCTGCCTTCCTTGTGTTCTTCTCAGAACCTAGTTTTTGTAGTCTTTCCTAAAATAATTTATTCAACTTCCTTATCCCCACTAATACTTAAATGGTGGGTAAAAGATAGAAAATGTTATTACCATCCTTCTCCAGGGACAGAATCTTAGTTTTATTCTACATGACAAGACTGTCCTACCTTCCAGTTAAGATTGACCAATATGATATAAAAAGAAGTTTCTGGATGGTACTTTTAGGAAGTCTTTTTAGAAAGGGATAGAAGCTGGTATGAGCCTTTTGCTTTTCTTTCTTTGTTCCTGACTGGAATACATCTGTGACGATTTGAGCTCCTGCTGCCATGTTGGACTCTGAGTATAACTTGGAGATGGTATACACATGCTTAGGATGATAAAACAAAGAGACTGAAGGGAATTCAGTTCTTGTTGTTCATAAGAGTTCCTGCCTAGTATTGGACTGCCTATTTCAGGATTTATTATACACGAGGGAAAAATCAACGCCTATGAGTTTAACCATTGTTATTTTGGGTTTTATGTTACAGGATAGCCAAATCTAATACAAAATACTACTTCTAATGGTGTTTGCATTTTAACAGGCAATAAGAATTTAACCTAAAAAAATGAAACCCTATCCCCAAGTTTCAGGCAAAGATTTTTCAGGTAGGATTTTGAGGTATTATTAGATCTTCTTTGGGATTTTGTGATCCTTTTTGGAATGCAGCCTTAGTATCTATAAAATTAGAAGCTGTGTTTTGTAATTATTTCTATCTTGCCAACTCTGCAATGTCATTCAATCTACAAGATAACATTTCAAGTGTTATTTTATTATGCAATCATTCATTTCAATGGCTGATTATTCACTTAAATGGTTAAGTGCAAAAAAAACCCCACTTTATGTAAGTACATAAATGTTTAATTATCAAGTTGATTGGTCTTGATAAAAAATCCTGTACCTTTTCAAAAGTACATTTCAGACTTGTGCACTGTGATGACCTGTGTTATCTGTTTGTTTTCTGGGTTTTTGCTGAGGAAATTAAAATCTAGAATTGGCTTTTTTGATAAGTCACAGTTATACTGCCCACGGCAGAACATATCCAGGTGGTGACCTGGTGTCTGGAGCAAGGTAGCTCCAATAAGAAGCTATTGGGGGGCCTCCCCGGTGGCGCAGCGGTTGAGCGCTGGGTTGCGAAGCTGCCCGCGGCCTCTGCGGCGCCAGTTCAATCCCCGGCTGCTCCCCGGCCACCGGAGGAGGATCCCACATGGTGCGCAGACCTCCCTGCCACCCGCTGCTCCCCTCAGCAGTGTACTTCAGTCCTTCTGCCTGCTCTGCTCCCCACTCTGGCTCTGGTGAATTCTCTCACCCTCCCGCGCTTCTGACTGTACCCAGTGCATGTATAAACAAAACAAACAAACAAATATAATAATAAATAAATAAAAACATGCCTCTATAAAAAAAAACTATAAAAAAAAAAAGAAGCTATTGGGCTGCTTAGTCACAACACCATTTAAAAAGTCATTCCTATCAACTTGGAAACTATATGTAAGAATTCCAATGGCTAAGAAAAAATGATTCATGAGGGTTGAGAACAGGAAAATTAGACTACATTTATGTGTTATTTAAAATCTGTTACGTGTGTGGTTGTCTCACACATCATTTGGTTATGACTTATGTCTAGGAATATAGATCTCAGGACAAGCTTTGAAATATATTTTCTTCTAAGAAATTGGGAGCCAGTGTGAAGTTGCATTTCTAGTTTCTATTTCCAATCTCCACTCTGATTTTGGAAGCATATTAATTCACCCAAACACAAGAACATCTATCCATCTATAAAATTAGATCATAAATATTCAAGTTTCCCAAAAAGTGCATTTGAGTTGCTGAGCCCCTACCAATAAAGAAAGCCCTTCTCTACACAGACCTTGTAAAGACATGAACAGCATCTTGCTGACATTTACCTAATCACAGTTTCCAGAAGTGCCCCTAAATGTTTATTTTGGTTTAAAGGGGAAAAAATTGCTTGCCAGTTACTATAATGTGTGCTTGTGTGAAACTGAACCCCTTGAGAATTTCTAATTATACATTTATGAAGAAGAAGTAGTAATCCCATGGAGCACTTTGAGAGTCATGAATATGTAGATAAAACTACAGAAGATGTGTCTTACAGTCAAGGGTGAAAATAATCAATGTTCACCTGAAAAATAGCTAACTGTGTGTGTGTGAGATCCACCTCCCTTTAAATAAAGTCAAACAGACATTTTAAATCAAACAAATAAAAATATAACATTTAGGAGAAGGCAGTAAGTAAAGAAGTAAACAGCTCTGTAGCAGATAGTTCCAAGATCAAATATTAACTTATTAGTCAGAGTTCCAACAGGAAACAGAAGGCACACTCAGCTGAGAGCTGTGAAGACTATTTAATGAAGAGACTATGGAGGTGTGTGCAGGGTTTAGGGAAGTCAGCAAGAGAGGGTAGTACTTACTGGAAAGGCGCAGGGGAAGAAGTGGTGTTACCAATGCCCTGTGAGAGCTGGAGTTATGGGGAGGGGGCGACTAACAGAAGCTGTAAGTTGTGAAGGGAAGCATTTTCTACTATAACCATGTTAGTAGCTGGAGAAAGGAGAACTGGGCAGAAACACCTCAACCGCTTTCTCTCTCTTCTTCCACTCTCTAGTCTCCTGGGGTGACCCCCATTGGGCAAACCTAAACAAAATCCTAAGGATAAGAGAGTCTAGGGTACAGTGCATTGCCGGAATGGGTTTGAAAAGGGGGTACAGGTAGAGAATACCCAGCATGCTGTAAAATCTGTAAATGGGGATAAAAACATTACCTACTGGGGGCCTCCCTGGTGGTGCAAGGGGTTAAGACACAAACTATGAAGCTTGCTGCAGCCACTGCAGTATGAGTTCAATCCCCTGGCTGGCCAGGGAGCAACCCACATGGCGCAGCAGACCTCTCCTGACTTGCCCACTGCTCTCCTCAGCAGTGTATTTCAGTCAGTCTGCCTGTTCTGATCACTCTGTCCTGGTGAATCCTCTCACCCTCTACAACTCTGGCCTGTACCCCAGTTCTTGTATGCATAAATAAATAAATCTTTAAAAAAAAGAAAAAAAAAATTGGGGCCTCCCCGGTGGCGCAGCGGTTGAGCGCTGGGTTACGAAGCTGCCCGCGGCCTCTGCGGCGCCAGTTCAATCCCCGGCTGCTCCCCGGCCACCGGAGGAGGGTCCCACATGGTGTGCAGACCTCTCCTGCCGCCCGCTGCTCCCCTCAGCAGTGTACTTCGGTCCTTCTGCCTGCTCTGCTCCCCGCTCTGGCTCTGGTGAATTCGCTCACCCTCCCGCGCTTCTGACTGTACCTAGTGCATGTATAAACAAACAAACAAACAAATAAATAAACACGCCTCTATAAAAAAAAAAAGATGGCATTTGTCATCAATCACGGTTTAAAAAAAAAAAAAGAAAAAAAAATTGCCTACCTCCTAAATTTGTTTTGAGGATTAAATGGCACAGTGCATTCACAATTCTTTCTTTTTTGTTTCTTAATGCAGTGCATAGAAGAAGCATCCACAGAAGAAGTTTGCTATTATTTTTATTGGCATGACTGTGTTCCATAACATAACAAGTGGTGGGTCACACAGCCACTTCATCTCATTTAAGTCTGTACACGCACAGGAGCCATTCAACAAAGCAGAAACCAAAGAATGTAGAGGAATTCCTCCTTCCCCCTCTGGAAAAATAATAAGGTAAAAGTCCAAGTTTTTTCTCTTTTGATTTGCAGGTGGATTCATAAAATATTAGTATTCTAGCGTGAACTCCCAAAATTCTTCCCCCTCCACCCTCCTGCCTTTGATGCCTGAAATTCCTCTATAGAGAACTAAAGCTTTTCCTTCTGCAACTGAAATCAAGACATGAAATGAAAATGGCCCTTGGGAAAAGAGCCTGTTGGCCAAGAGTTCAGCTGCTTTTCAGGCAGCAAGATTCATGGTGTTTCTTTTTTTTCTTTTTTTTTTTTTTCATTTTTTTGGGAAATGTATTATTTTTTATTGAGGTTACTTTGGTTTACAACACTGTATATGATTTAGGGGTGTACGTTCACACCACACCCTCCACCAAAGCACCCACAGCCTTCTACCACAGTCCACTGAGCCCCTCCTCACTTTACTCCCCATCCCCCAACCTCCCACTCTGGTAGTTCAGTTCTGCAGTGAGATTTCTAGGGTTTGTTTTGGTTTAGTGTTGTCTGTTTCTTTGCTTTCTTTCTCTGTATTCCACATATGAGTGCAATTATGTGCTATTTGTCTTCTCATCCCCTCCACATCCATCCATGTTGTTGTAAATGGCAAGAGTTCATCTTTTCTTTTAATAGCTGAATAGTACTCCATTGTGTCTATAGGACAGTATTCTGTGGCTTATGTAGACCACATCTTCCACTCATCTGTCCTTGGGCACTCAGGTTGTTTCCATAAATTGGCAACTGTGAATAGTGCTCAGGCAGCAAGTTTTGCTACAGGAATGAATGCACTTCCTTTAACTCCGGGGCCATGTGGAGACTGACAGTGGCAAGAGAAATGGGAGTGCTTCCCACTGCTATACCAGCAAAGGAAGTTTCCCCAGGCCTGGGCTGAATTAAAAGGGGTGTGACTCGAGGCAGGGTGAGGCAGTAAGGCCAGCTGCAGGAGAGAGCCTGGACAGTTCTGGAGCCAAGGTCAGAGCTGGGAAGTCAATTTCATGTGTGCCATCCAAAAGGTGAGGCCAGGACAGAAACCTAGTGTGGAATGTGAGTTGTGTCTACTGGTGATGGTCAAAGAATTTAACAACAGGTGTAGTAATTCATAGATGCAGATATAGAAATATACAGAGAGATGGAGACAGAGACATGCTTGGCTCTAAAACATATATTAATTTGGATATATTGATATCTATTACATATTAGTAAAAAATTAAATGCCTATAATTCCTATTAAACAGCTAGTTAAATCATTCCTCAAATAATTCTAATAATTTCTAAATTATTTGCTGAATTTTAGAAAATATTGATGTGGTCTTTTATTTGACATGGCTGTTACTGCCAAATAATGCCTCTGAGTGAGCAGTGATTTGACACAGGGAGCAACATCAAATTCTTTAACAACTACACCATTGAATGGATAGCCATTAGCTTGCAGCCTCGATTCTAGATAATGATTTTAATATATTCTTCATGGCGCTGACACCTTTGTCAGCTTCAGCTGAACTTACAGTGTTGACATTTGAAGACTCCCTGGCTCTTATACTTCTGTTTGAGAATTTTATAAATTCAGCATCCTTTTTATTTTCATGACATTTCATGAGTAAGTCCTGACAACCACTTATGGAATTCTATATAAAATGAGTTGTCTTAATTAAAAAAAAAAAAAATTGGTGTCCTTTAAGGCAAACAGATTCACAAACATCTTTTGGTCAAACTTCAGATTTCCACATGTATTTTTCCTCGTATCTTTCATTACATGACCCATTCATTTTATTTTTTTTTTTTTTAATTTTTTTTTTTTTTTTAAAGAGGCATGTATTTTTATTTATTTATGATTTATTTATTTATTTGTTTGTTTTGTTTATACAAGCACTGGGTATAGTCAGAAGTGCGGGAGGGTGAGAGAATTCACCAGAGCCAGAGCGGGGAGCAGAGCAGGCAGAAGGACCGAAGTACACTGCTGAGGGGAGCAGCGGGCGGCAGGAGAGGTCTGCGCGCCATGTGGGACCCTCCTCCAGTGGCCAGGGAGCAGCCGGGGATCGAACTGGCGCCGCAGAGGCCGCGAGCAGCTTCGCAACCCAGCCCTCAACCGCTGCGCCACCGGGGAGGCCCGACCCATTCATTTTAGATAATTCTTTTTTTTTTTTTTTTTTTTTAGATTTATTTTTATTTATTTATATAAGCACTGGGTACAGTCAGAAGCACGGGAGAGTGAGAGAATTCACCAGAGCCAGAGCGGGGAGCAGAGCAGGCAGAAGGACCGAAGCACACTGCTGAGGGGAGCAGCGGGCGGCAGGAGAGGTCTGCGCGCCATGCGGGACCCTCCTCCAGTGGCCGGGGAGCAGCCGGGGATCGAACCGGCGCTGCAGAGGCTGCGGGCAGCTTCGCAACCCAGCGCTCAACCCCTGCGCCACCGGGGAGGCCCTCATTTTAGATAATTCTTTTTTGTTTGTTTGTTTGTTTATACATGCACTGGGTACAGTCAGAAGCGCGGGAGGGTGAGAGAATTCACCAGAGCCAGAGCAGGGAGCAGAACAGGCAGAAGGACCGAAGTACACTGCTGAGGGGAGCAGTGGGCGGCAGGAGAGGTCTGCGCGCCATGTGGGACCCTCCTCCAGTGGCCCGGGGGAGCAGCCGGGGATCAAACCGGCGCTGCAGAGGCCACGGGCAGCTTCGCAACCCAACGCTCAACCGCTGCGCCACCGGGGAGGCCCTTAGATAATTTTTTTTTTTTTTTTTTTTTTTTTATCTTAAATTTTATTTTTATATTCCCCCATACAATTGCAAACGCCCCATTCTGACCCCAATCCTTCCCCTCCCGCCCCCCACCCCCAAAAAGTGTCTCTGGTTCATAGTTTTTTGTTGATTTTGATTTTCACTTTCTTATATTCATTTTCCTGGTCCCTTATTTAAGTTTTCTAGATTCCTGCTATGAGTGAGACCATCCGGTATTTTTCTTTTTCTTTTTGGCTTATTTCGCTGAGCATGATCCCTTCCAGCGCCATCCATGTTGCTGCAAATTGCATGTGTTTATCTTTTTTGAATGCTGAGTAATATTCCATGGTATATATGTACCACATCTTCTTGATCCAGTCATCTATTTTTGGGCATTTGGGCTGTTTCCAAAGCTTAGCTATTGTCAACAGTGCTGCTATAAACATAGGGGTGCAGGTGCTCTTTGGAATTGATGTTTCTGTGTCCTTTGGGTAAATACCTAGGAGTGGAATTGCTGGATCATATGGAAGCTCTATGTTTAGTAGATCCAGAAATCTCCACACAGCTCTCCATAGTGGTTGGACCAGTTTGCACTCCCACCAACAGTGCAGAAGAGTTCCTTTTTCTCCACATCCTCGCCAACATTTGTTGTTGCTAGTTTTTTTAATATGTGCCATTCTCACTGGTGTGAGATGGTATCTCATGGTAGTTTTGATTTGCATTTCCCTGATTGCAAGTGATGTTGAACATTTTTTCATATGTCTGTTGGCCATTTGCATTTCCTCTTCAGAGAAGTTTCTTTTTAGCTCTTCTGCCCATTTTTTGACTGGATTATTTTCTTTGTTGTTGCTGAGTCTCATCAGCTCTTTGCAGATTTTTGTGATCAGTCCTTTATCATTAGCGTTGGGTGCAAAAATGTTCTCCCAGTTGGTGGGGTTTCTCTTTGTTTTTGTTATTGTCTCTTTTGCTGTGCAGAAGCTCTTTAATTTGATGTAGTCCCAGCTGTTTATCTTTGTCTTCACTATCACTGCTTTGGGTGATGTGTCTGTAAAGATGTCTTTGATGTGCAAATCCCGTAGTGTTTCGCCTATATTTCCTTCTATGTATTTTATGGTTCCTTAGATAATTCTTAAAGCAAAAGAATAGTATTTCTTCTTAGAATGGATATTTTCTTAGTTTGAAAGGGTATGTCTTAATTCTTAATTTTTAATATATCATCCACCTCTCACATTTTGTTTTATTTTCTATACTCAATAATTTTTCCCTTTCATCAAATCAATCTGCCAGTTTTAATATCAAAACATTTCTTTCTTGGGGTAATTCTAATTTCTTAATATCAAAAGTTTTCTGTCTTATTGACATCTCAGTGTATCATTGACTTAAGCAAAATCTCTTAAAAATATTAATTTTTCCAATTATTTAATTAATTCCACTGAAACATTTCTATTAAACTGACTATGCCAGGTGGGATATCATTTCTTTTTTTTTTTTTTTTTTTTTTTTTAGAGATTTATTGATTGATTTATACATACATACATACAAGCACTGGGTACAGTCAGAAGCGCGGGAGGGTGAGAGAATTCACCAAAGCCAGAGCAGGGAGCAGAGCAGGCAGAGGACTGAAGTACACTGCTGAGGGGAGCAGCGGGCGGCAGGAGAGGTCTGCGCGCCATGCGGGACCCTCCTCCGGTGGCCAGGGAGCAGCCAGGGATCGAACCGGTGCTGCAGAGGCTGCGGGCAACTTCGCAACCCAGCGCTCAACCGCTGCGCCACTGGGGAGGCCCCCGGGATATCATTTCTAAACTGCCCCCCTAGGAGATCCAAATATTCTCATTTTCTTTATTTCAGATGTTTTCTTTTTGGCTGTTATTTTTGTATGGAATGTATATTATAAAATTTGGAGAAAGGATTTTCAGTGTTTTACTTCAGAGTTTGTTAAGCTTTTTTGTAATGGACCAAATGGAAAATTTTTTAAGCTTTGCAGGACACAGAGTGTCTGTAGTAACTCTCCAACTCTGATGTTGTGACGCTAACGCAGTCACAGGCAATCTATAAAGATGGGCTTGACTGGGTTCCAACACAGCTTTATATAATAAAGTTCCAATAAAAATTTGTTTATGGATGCTGTAATTTGAATTTTATATAATTTTCACATGTCATAAAATATTTTTTCTTTTTTGGTTTTCACAGGTCATACAAAATCAGACAGCACACCAGATTTGGTCCATGGGTCCAGAGAACAATCTGTTTTATCTGATTTACATTTTTATTGTATCCTCCAAGATCATTGAACTCAGTGACTTATTTCCTAATTAAAATATTCAGAAACTTTCCTAAAATTTTGGCCAAAGCTGCATTCTTTTTATCAGGCAATAAGGTTTTCTTGTAAATATTTATGCTTTAAATAATTTTTCCCAAATATCAACAATATAGTTTAATATAGAGTTTTATAATTTTTTTTTTATACAAGCACTAGGTACAGTCAGAATCACGGGAGGGTGAGAGAATTCCAAAGCCAGAGCAGGGAACAGAACAGGCAGACTGACGAAATACACTGCTGAGGGGAGCAGCAGGCGAGACAGGAGAGGCCCGCTGCACCATGTGGGATTCTCGCCGGCCAGCCGGGATCGAACCCGCGCTGCAGAGGCTGCGGACAGCTTCACAGTGTGTCGCTCAACCACCTGCGCCACCAGGGAGGCCCTTCTTTGTTTCATGTTTTCCTGAAACTCATTTTCTCATTTTACTAGGTATTTTACAATAAGGAGGTCTGTAAGTCTATATTACACTGATACACTCATATTAGTATTATTCTTCTTTGAAGTTCTCATAAAAATGTCCTTTCTGAGAAAACTTGATCAGTTGTAACTACAGAGTAGACAATGTGTTTGTGTATCTGATTGTGTTTTCTGTATCTTTCATTTCCCTTTTTTACATTTTGATCAAATATTTTGGGGGTACTTTTACTAATTATGGGGTCCTCCCTAGTGACCTCGGGGTTAAGTTTCAACATTATCACTGCTATGCCCTGAGTCGATCCCTGGTCAGGGAACCGACCCACATGGCACAATAGACCTCTCCTGTCTCGTGCTGCTCCCCTCAGCAGTGTGTTTCAGTATATCTGCCTGTTCTGCTCCCCTCGAACTTGTGCTGCAGTGGCTGCCAATAGTTTCACAGTGCTGACTTACCCCCTTGTGCCACCAGGAAGGCCCCTTGTTTGTTTGTTTGTTTGTTTTCAAAATAATCAAGGTGGGTTGTAACTATGGGATTACAAATTGTTTTACTTGTACTGATTCATCCATAGTATCAAAGGGCATTTCAAGCTGTTGTCACTTTATCAGAAGATGTAACAGACTATAGTTTACTATTGAAATAATTTCTTTGTTGTGTTCTTTCAGATCCAAAAATCTCATGTTGGAGATATTTTAAAAGAACATTGAAGAGCTTATCCAAGTTATATTGTCTCTCCATTTTCTAAACAGTTTTGAACTTATGAATAGCAATAATGGTATGTTTATTATAAAATTCGGAGAAAGAATTTTCAATGTTTTACTTGAGAGTTTGTTAAACTTTTCTGTAATGGAGCAAATGGAAAATTTTTTAGACTTTGCTGCACACTTACCACATGCACATTACTAGGTGTAATAACAAACCAATGCGTGACTGGAATTATTTAGAAGTCATTGCAACGAAGGCATTTGAGGATAATAATAAAATGATGGTTTCCCTAAAGCACAGAATGCTTCACAAAGAAAGTGCAATGCAGCCCCTCCAAATAAGGAATCAGTATCTTTCATGCATCACATATTTTTCATCTATCTACACACACACAGTTAAGGCTAACACATTGTTTCATACTGAAAAATGTTGCCCAGCCACTGTGTGCGACCACAGTGCGTTCCATGCTAATTCATGAGTATCTTTGGAACTCCAACTCGAAACAAGAAGGAAAGGAAAAAAGTGGGTGCTCGGACTCCTAGAAACAATACTTCATAGTGCAAGGATCAATTACATTAATTTAATTGGCAGGAAACGTTGATTTAAAAATGTGTATTTTCTCTTAGCACTTCTATAACTGAAATCTTCCCTGCACTCCAAAGCTATAGCTGTTTTTTAGGTCAATTGCTGTGTAACCACAAGCTTTTGTGGCAGTTGTCACAGCTGTCTTTTGTTTTAAGGACACGGGGTGAGTGATGTGTAGAAGCATTGCCCTGGAGCCTGCGCAGTGTTACCAGATGTTGTAGTTAGAGGTTGAGCCGTGCCAGGCTGAGCAATGGATTCCTTATGACAGAGGTGCCCAAATATACATTACTGGTTTTTTGGCCTGTATTTGTGATGTCTGTGACCCTCAAGTGTGGTGTCCAGGACTTCTCTGGCCTGCATCTAACAACATTTCTGAGAATGTGTGAAGTGTTGTACTTAGTGCTAAAGTAAACAGGTTTAAAAAGTCAAGTTACACATACACCATTGGAAGACAGACAGGGAAACGATGCAGTGTACTGAGTATTTCACTACAAGTGGACATGGGGGCTTGGGCGGAACAGGGGTTACCTAGCCCAACCTGGGGGAGGGAAAGGAGAGAAAAGATAGAGAATTCTCCAGAGGAGATCAAAGGAAGAAAGACAGTTGAGAGCATTTCAGGTAGAAGCAACAGCAAGGGAGGCAGAGGGAAGCAGGAAAATGTGGCATGTGTTGGATTGGGCAGAGACCAGATGAACCAGGCCTCAGAGGATGTAGTGAGAGTTCTGATTTAATCTTGAAGACCAGTTGGGGCCATGAAAGGTAGAAAGCAGAGGAATGATATAACCAGATGTTCATTTCCAAAGGAGTATTTGACAGGACGTTTTAGAGGATCAATTAGGCAGTACTAGGATTCAGGTCAGAACAAAGCTGTGGAGGTGGGGGGTTGAAATGACGGAGGGGACAGGTAGGACCCCTAGACTTTGGTGGCCAAATGTATCCGGGGAGACAGAGAGGGAGTCTTTAAGAAAGACTACCAAGTTTCTGGGGTTTGTGCCTTGGATAACTGGCTGGGTGTTAGATCCTCAAAAATGAAGATTATGAAAGAGAGAGAATTTCATAGAAGGAGAGTTCCACTTCAGACATGCTGAGCATGGATACACCCAAGTGGAACTGTCTAGAAGGGTTGATTCCATAGGTCTGAGAAGACTGTTCTGTACAGTGAATATAGATTTAGATTGAATATAGATTTCAGAGGGGAGGGTCATCTAAATATAGATGGTGGTTGAAATCTTGGAAATGGCCCCATCTATGGAGAAAGACTGGGATGGAAGAGGAAAAACAGAGTGGGAATGAGGCATGAGAAGGTAAGAGCAGAGGTATAAAGTCAAGGAGCTGAGAAGAGTGGAGAGGTAGAGACTGAGAACAAGACCTTGGAAAACTGCTATTTCCAGAGAAAGGAGGCAACCACAAGAAGCCCATGGAGAAGGCTGAAAACAAGCAATCAAAGATCAGGAGGGACAGGAGGAGAGGGTGGTGTCGCCAAGTCAGCATGGCAGAGTTCTGAGAAGGAGGCAGTGGCAGCACTAAGGTGTAACTGGAGTCAGCAATGCAGCCCTTAAGTGCCTTAGTGTGAGTTACTCTAAGTTGTGCTCAATGGATATCTACTGGTTTCATGAAATTGAGTTCAGTCAGACTTGGGTCAGTGCCCAGGCCACTCCAATAGGATAAAGGAAAAGGAGGAAAAGAAAAATCAACGGCTTGAATAATGACTGGGAGGTGAGAAGTGATAATCATAATAAAGACGCTGGCTAGAAAGGGAAGGGACATTGTCAGTGGTGGTTGAGAGAGAGCGCAAAAAAAGGGTTTGATTTGAAACTACGCTGCCAGCAGAGGGGCTGTCGTTGTTGAAGATGTGGGAGAACTGGAAGGGAGGGGATCCCCTGCCCAGGGGGATGTAAGGCAGACCCCACCTCACAGAAGTGGAAGAAAGACTATGAGGATTGAGGGGGAGGAATCTACTGTCTCTTGGAGAGAGTGCCAAGACCAGAGCTTTCTGTTTGGCTTCTGTTCTCAGTGCTGCATGTGGAGGTCACTTGCTGGAAGGAGAGGCCGTGAAACTTTGAAAGACTTGCTGGAGACAGTGGGAGAGAGAACGTGATCAGCGTGGGACTGCGGAGTCGAAGGCTTGACATTCTGGGTAAGTGCCTTGTTCTTTCCAGCTACCCTGCCCTGGCTTTATTGATATTGCCAAGTTGTGATGTCACCAAATATGAAATTAAAACTATATTGCCTATATTTTGTGCCTGGGGCTTTCTGGTTCCATTCTGCTGCTTCCTAGGCATGGCCAGCCACTTGACATCGACAGTTTGCTCCCACAGTAGTTGGCACAATCTGAACTGGGGATGAGAACAGTAAACAACCAAGCAGAGCCCCAGTAGTCCCCCATCAACCTTACAGATTATGAGTCCCCAAACAATTCCGCTTGGGTTCTTCGTCAACAGAGTTTACACAATCTAGTTACCAGCCCCTGGAGTCCTTTCAGTTACCTCCCTAGCCTTGGACCGTTTCGAGATTCTCCGCAGACTCTCTGCAGTGGTACCCTTCGTTACACAGATATTCAGTGTCCTTTCAGGTCTGATTTCTGAAGTTCCCTATTCCCTCCCGTGCTCACCCATGATCACCCTAGATGCCGTCTGGGCTGCTCTCAACCTCCCAGTACCCTTCTTTGCTGCTATGTCCCCAGCACCGCCCCGTGAGGTGGGCTTCGCTGGGCATGGTGCCAGCTATCCATGGGATTCACTTGGACGGGTGCTCCCCTACAGCAACAACCCCTCCAAGCTGGGCAGAGCCACACTGCCCCTGTGCGCCCATTCCACACACTAGTAGGCCTCTGTCTGGTTGCCCAGAGTCTAAGTAGTGTAGCCTTAAGCCCCTGGCCTCCCAAGTGTTCGGCCTTCCATTTGAGGAGTGTCTGTTCCCTCACTCTGTCTCTGGCAGTCGCCCAGCCTCTGGAGGCAGATGGCCCCATGGTTCTAGGCACTTGGCACGCGAATGTCTTTTCCTTCTAGTGAGCAGACCTGCATGTCACAGGCTGTTGGCCCTCTAGTTGGCCAGTTACCTCCCAAGTGACTATGTAGCATGTGTCCCATGCAGCCTATGTCCACGGAAATGTCCCTTCATCTCTGTGAGTCCTAACCACCAGTCAAGACAGAAACTGAATGCCACTTCCTCCATGTAAGCTTCCCTCACACCTGTGAGGAATGTCATGTTTTCCTTGTGTAAACTGCCATAGAGTCTCACCTGTGTTTTGAGTTCATTCATTCATTCAATAAATATTTACTGAGAATCTAGAACCAGACTCCATGCCAAGTGCTAGAACACGTGAATGAAAATACAAGTCTCAAACCTCACAGAACTTTCCAGAGTACTAGAAAACATTTGTGTACATGAACAATCTAATATTTTTTTAAAAAGTGTCCAGTAGGTAGTGTATTTGTTAACAATGTGGGCCCTAAAGTCAGATTTGCATCTCAGCTTCACAACTGACTGTGTGAGCTTGGACAAGTGTTTTAACCTCTCTGCGCCTTATTCTGCATCTGCAAAATGAGATAGCAATAATACCTCCTCGAGTAGAGACTATAGAAAGTGTTGTATATGTGAGTTTCCATTGTTATTGTCATATAATTGTTTTAACACAAACAAAGGGAAGTTAGAAAAGGGAAGGAGCCTTTAATTCTCTTGACTTTATGTTAGAGTTCTTTATGTGTGATTCTTATTTCCCCTACTGAATTCTAAGGTCCTCAGGAGCAAACTTCTATTTATAAACCGCGTACATGTTTGACTCAGTTACTTACACTCAGTTGTGCTCAATGAATATCTACTGGTTTCATGAAATTGGATTTGCCCAGATTTAGGTCAGCCCTGAGGCCACTTCAATTGGGTGTAAAAGTAACAGAAGCTGCCCCTGACCTCCAGACCAAATCCTGAGGGGCTCTGTGGGCCTGCGGTCATAGAAAGGAGCAAATGAAAATTTGAAAAAAGCTGCCTCACTCAGAGATGCCACATGTACAGCCTGGGCTTTACATTTATTCCCTGTTGTGCAGGCCGTCTCGAGTTGGCGTTTCTACTTCCATGATGTAAATGTATTTTTAAGGGTTGGTTACTTGGCTCTGGAGATCACTGGGTGGACCTCGGCATTCAAAAATCTATCCTGGGAGCTGTTAGCGCTTTCCCACTCCCTGCCCCCTTAATAAACTCACTGAAAGAAAACAAAAAGGTCAGTTTTTAGATCCACACAGGCAAGCGACTTATTGTTTCCCTAAGAAAGCCACTTCTCTCTTCTTAAAGTAAGTCGCCATTGACCTATTATGAAATTTTACAGAAATTCCTCAAATTTCTTAAATTTTAAGTCTCGTGGTTCTGAAAAGAAAATATGTCATGCTGGTTTTAATGTCGAATGGTTTCCAATTTGAAGTCCTGGCAAGTTTCTATGCTGGATTGAACCCTAGACAGACCTTGAATTAATTCTAGTAAATGATGGGGATGGATAGCTTGTCTGTTGCCAACCTCACTGGAGTAAGTTAAGGCAATTTGAGTTGATATGTTTTTCTTTCCTACCTTGGGCATTGCATGCCTGACTAATACCTTCATTACTATAATTTCCAGCCTTCTGTCACCTCATTAGAGAAGCATTGTAAAAATATGATTCCGTACGAGATAGGCGGAATGCTCATCATGAATTCCTCAAGGAAATTTGTATTATGGAGTATTTTAAAAGAAGCATGGATTAAAAACTGGAATTAGATCCAGGCAAGAATGGAGCAGTTGCTCACACACAAAGTTGTCTGTTTTGGAAGGTGAAGGTGTCATAGAATTTAGAGAGGAAAGTCAAGTCAGAGGTCTCCTTCCCAGCTCCTTATCGGGTGCCGAGGCCCGCCTACTTACGCGGGGCTGCAATACGTGGGTTTGCTCCAGGGGCAAACAGGTGTCTGTGTCAGGCTCTGTTGGTGCTCTATCCTTACTCCTTTCACCTTTACCTCTCCACCCCAGAACTCCTGCCATCTCTTCCAGAGACCTTTTTGTTGGAGAATATTCAGCCTACAGGCAGGGCAGGCCCAAAGTGCTTGAGAGTTATACTTCTGGAAGTAGCTCTAAGCCAATTGGTGAATAAATGCCCCAGCCTCCTGGGTCTTCCAGGGACAGCTCTGAGGCAGGCTTTTTATCACTCAGAGCTCTCCAAAGGGACTGATCTCTAGCACCGACACCAGTGACCTGCTTGCTCATGTTCCTGTTATTGGCTTCCTCTCTTTCCTCATCTCAATTCCCTGTTCCCCAACCCGTGTTCCCTGCGATCACCTCTCTAAGAAACTATTGGCACTTGGCTCCTTATCTCAGGGTCTGCTTCTGGAAGGACCTCAAGCCAAGACAATTCCTATTTCTGCAACTCTAGTTAGGTCCTTCCCACTCTTCTCCTTGATTGTTTTATACAGTCACCAACTGGCCTTCAGCCTGCAGTCTCTTTCCCTTCCTTTTTTTTTTTTAAAGGTATATTTATTTATGCATACAAGAGCTGGGGTACAGGCCAGAGATGCTGGGGGGGTGAGAGGATTCACCAGAGACAGAGCAGGGGACAGAACAGGCAGACTGACTGAAATACACTGCTGTGGGGAGCAGCAGGCGACAGGAGAGGTCTGCTGCACCATGTGGGTAGCTCCCTGGCCAGCCGGGGATCGAACTCGTGCTGTAGAGGCTGCGGACAGCTTCACAGTGCCGTGCTTAACCCCTTGCACCACCAGGGAGGCCCATTCCCTTCCTTTCTTAACACATATTGCTCCCAGATCATACTTCCTAGGAAAGCATTGCTCGGCTGTGTCATTCCCTGGCTCTAGGTCCTTTGCTGTTACCCTCGTTCTAAATGGGAACAAAAGTCGCAACCCCTGTCATTATCTGGTTGATACTCCTCCCCAGCCCTTGACCCACTGCTCCTGCTGACCTACCCTGCGCACAGTCACTAAATATTTGTACAATCAAAAAGCTTAAAGGAAGGTGAGAAAAGTGAGCAGGGCGTTATACTTCTACCTTTATCCTACTGAAAGTGAAGTTCACAGTATTTTTTTGCACTTACAAATTTCCTGTAAATAGAAGCAGTTTTTCCTTCCTCAGTTTTTTCATTCCAGAGATAGGGTTCTTATCAGTCCAATTGGAACAAAATTCCACATGTGAATGTCTTCCTGTAGTTTTTATACTGGAATTTCACTCCATTTCCAGTGGGGAATTAAGCCTCTGCGTTTCCAATTGCTTTTCTATTTTGTTAAAGCTTCAATAGGCACTGTAATGATAAACTTTTCACTAATGCAGACAGAGGGAGGGAGACCACATGCTCTATTGGACAGAGCAACAGAAGAGGCTTCAGCTCTGGCCTGGTTCTGCCCATAATAGGTTGGGTGATATTGAACAAATCATGCAATTTCTCTGAATGTCACTTTCCTCACTTCTATGTCAAGGAGTTTGTCTCAAAGATCCATTTGAGAGCTAATATGCTACCAGCAAGCTGGATGGGTAGACTCAAAGGCTCAGAGAGGAACCTAAACTTCTTCACATCTCCCATGGTTTTAGTTTAGTCAATCTAAAATTCCACTGAATTTTTGAAGCCCATAAAAATGATCAGTGAGTATTGTCATCAGGACATGAACTAGAGTCAGACTTAGTCTGTGTACCCCAGAAACCCCTGCCTCTCCCCTACCACCAGTATGTTCCTGATCTTCGTGCTGGATGACTATAACATGCTTAACTTGGTCCTGGCTTCCTTCTGAGAAAAATAAATATTAAATGTGAAATGAAAACCACACATGTAATAATGTTGGGATTAATGAGGTGTTGAATTATATTCTTACTTTGCTATTGTTGGCAAGTGTGGTATTCAGCTGAATTCAAATCTGTGGAACCATTCGTAAAACAGAAACGTTAGCCCAAAGTTTTTCATTCACTACGTGGCTTCTTATCCTACTGATGTGGGATGGTAAGGCTCTTCACATCTGGGAGGCAATGAAGGCAAGCAAGAGTACTGGCATGGCGTGGTCTGGGGGTACTGGGAAGCCCCCACACCCAGCCTCCATGTTTGACTAAACACAAAGAAAAGGGAAGAGAAGAGATAGGAAAGGAGAAGACAGGAGGGATGGGAGGGCAGACGTGGGGAGA